AGTGAATTGTGCTATTATATACCTGCTGGGTTGCAGCTTGGTTATTGTTACATATTAGCACTGCATAAAATCTGGATATAAATTTGAGTACAAAATGGAAACTTCCAAGGCTGAGGGACATAAATATATACCATCATTATGGTTCATCAGTGGGCTTTTGCCTTTTCAAACCTTACCTTCATGTCTGGTTTAAGGGTATCATGGAAAATTATCAGATTCGATTCAACTTATTTTACCAGTTTTAGCTTGAGAAATGCTTCCCTAGATGTGCCATCACTTTTTTGTTGTTGTTTCTATGAGAAAGCTCACAGTTTCCTTTCATGGAAGGGCAGCACTACAATGGCAGAGGCAATGCATATTCAGGCTGAGTGGCACTAGCAGAAATGTGTATGTACATTTAAGTGTATGTGGCTTAGTGGGTGGATGAGGAGATAAATGTGCACAGCCATTGTTCATATATTTAAAATATTATATACAACTTCAGGAAAAAAGACAGGAGGTTTTCTCCTCAACATCAGATAAATAATTTCATTAGGCTTCTGGAAACGTATGCCAAAGAGCTCACTTTTTTTCTGTGCCATTTAGCCGGGTCTTGACAGTTTCTGAGCAAGTTTTATTGTTTGGCTGGGAATTATTTTAGATCCTCAATCAAAAAAAATCCTCAGGCTTATGAAATCCTCCTTGGCAAGATACTGAAAACCCGGTGTCCTCTGATGCATCTGATTCTTATGTGATCAGGGACACTAATGATAATGACCCTTTGCTGAGTATGCTACTTGTCTAGAGGCCTATGTCAACTACACCACTACATCCAGAGTGGACAGGGACAAACTATTTGTTTGCTCTTCAGGCCCCTTGGGCCCTGTCATATGCTATTTGTTCTTGCATTAAGAGGTAGTTTGACTCGGCTGGGCTGACATTTCCTTCAAGTCAGTGTATTCCACTCATGCAGTAGCAGCTACCAAAGCAATAAGTATAGACTTGAGGCTCAGCAACAATCATTTAAGTGGCTTTTTTGATTCATATCCAGGGCTTTTCACATTTTCACTGGTCATTCTGAATCCAAATTGACACATTTTTTTTAAAACTAGCTTTGCTATTTGATATTCAGGCAACATAGCCTCCTCATAGTTAATGTGGCTGCTCATCAATAACACACATCAGAACCTGCTACTGAGATGATGAACAAGGACTGATATTGCTACGTGATACCAGAGGCATTGATCAGTTCTACTTTTCTTCTCCACCTCATGAAGGATACCTGATATGTGATTAGTCTCTCAGTCACAGCCTTCTTCCTTTTCCTTCCATTTCCTACTTAAATTTTACTTTTTACTGTAATAGGATGTCCTTGTGTTCACATCTTAACTGGAGAAGGATATGTTTTTTTTCCTGTTGGAGTCATGACAATGCTGAATATTTTTCTGGTTTATTTGCATTTGTAGGTACTGTTGGAATTTGAAAATTTTGTTTCTGATTGATTACACTCTTCTAGTATTGCATCAGTGTGATCTTGCTCATGCCATTTGATGTGATGCAGCATTCAGTTAGAACAGTGACTTCCTAAATGTGAGTCTAGACCATCCGTGATGCACACAAAGAGCATTTGTATGTCAGCTGCCTATTTATATCAGTTAGTAATTTATTGTAATTTAGAGTCATTAAAAAGGTGTCCTTAAAAAGATGTCTCCAATCTACCTATCCGGATCATATTCGGTAATGCAGATTTCTACTTATGTGTTAGTAAATCTCAAAAATTCCCACTCTCTGACCAGGTCAGACCACTTGTCATGAGTCCCAGGGAATCCCTGTGATACCATTTCTGTCCTCTGTTCTAATCCAGCAATACAATAAGTCATAAAGTTTTGTCTCATAGCATAATACCCTCCACCACTCTGGGAATCTAAAACCTTTGCAGCATTTTTAATATTATCTTAACTGTAAGGCTGCTCAGAACAACTCTAAAGTCCCAATTTGTATTTCAATTTATTAATTAATTTTTCACATATTTATTGCTTTCATGCTCCAGACTTCTTGTCTTCCAGGCTCCTTCTAGATCCTCTGGATGTAAAACCACAGCTGAGAAAAATATTGCAAAGTAGCCAGCTATTTCTGGGCAGGTGGGACAGGGGCAAAGCTGACTTGAAAAAGGAGTTTTTAAAGCAAATTTACAAAAAAACTTCTAAAGATAAATATCGGCTACAGACATGACAGTGCTTTAGCTGATTTACCTCTTGGGTACTTCTAGCTGACATGCACTAAAGATTTCTGGGCAGGAAAGCAAGTACCTGTCACTTTCTGTAATTTACAAGGATATGAAACAGCAGATTATACAGTCCACCATTGTTCCAGAGAGGAGAAAAGAGTCTGACCATTACAAACAAATCTTAACAGGGCTCTCCTGATTCAATCCACTTTGTCTTTTCTAGCACCTTGGACCAAAGTTAAGTCAGTGTAGATAAAGAGTAAATGAAGAGACGGCTGGGTCTGGGGAGCAGCTGAGGGTGCGAACACTGGGCTGGAGAATAAATTTAGCAGCAACAGAGAGGAGGAAGAAAACAATGTCTGGATTTGGAAGCCTGGCAAGTTCTCCACTCACTGCTCAACCTGTGTTTAGCAATTCTGATGTGCTACTGAGCAGACAGCTCAGGCTCAGGACGACTACTCTCCCTCAGTCCCTCTTCAGCAGGCAATGAAAGCAGGCTGTACTTTGAAAATCTTCCCCCATCATGCAAACTGACACAGGCATGCTTTTCAAAAACCCACAGCCAATCTGTTGATCATTACTTATTTACAAAGGCCTTCGGGCAGAAAGTCCTGTAAAAACCATACTTGATACGGTATACACTAGCTTTTTCTGCTTGTGGAAAAAAGTACCCCTAAGGCTACCTCAAACCATCACTTTCTATTGCACATAAAATGTACCGTGTAACACTAAAGTATTTAATATATATGGTATAATATATCTACAGGAAAGGCATTTGTGTAGAAGTATGTTACCCTGTATTTGGTAATTTGATGTTTTGCTGAAGGCTATGACTTGAAAAAGCCTGCACCTAGTACAGAGGACCTGTCATCTCAGTACCCAAGAGCCAATAGAATAAAGAAGTACCCTTAAGCAGCAAAACTTTGACACAGCTTTGAAGCATATGAAAACAGTATAACTCCCCAGAATTATTATTACTCAAGATCAAAGAAATGAGGCATACTTTACATAGCAAACAGGGACAGTGTGTTCAGCTCCTTCTTTCTCTCTCTCTTTCTCCCCTTCTCTTTCTTTTTACTTCTACTTCCCCAAAATTAGAATATGGGAGAAGGTGAGGGGGGGAATCTCCACATGTTTACATTTTAAGCAGTTAAAACAATTAGCACCAGATGACTGTCCAAAGGTAAGTAAATTGAAAACTATGCTAGCATGACAACTGGCACTATAAAAATGAGAAGTTTGCCAGTATGCTCATTTTATTCTTCCTCATAAACTGTAAACAAGCATGTAAATCAGTGTCGTTTGGGCAAGGCTGAGCTAACAGGAAGGCAGAGAACTTTTAATGATACATTCTACAGAAATAGATGGTCAATAAGGAAAAAAAAAAGCCACAGCTGGGTGCATTCTCCCTCTGTGAATCAATCTCACTTTTGGTTCTGTAGTCTAAACAGAGATGAAGATGATTTGTGGAAGTTACGTCCTTGAATATGCCCTATATTGCAGAAACAATAAACAAATATGGATGCTTCTGTAACTGCCCAAAGAAAATTCCAGCCTAGCAACTGAAATACAAAGAGAAATATCACCTACCTGTATCCAGAATTGTTACAGGAACAAAATCATCATCAATAATAAATGCATAAGAGATTTTATTTATGGAAAGAACTATATATTTGTATCAATTTTTTTTCACTTAGCATCTGTGAGCAGCCCCAGTTATACACAAACAAATCTCAAATTCCACAAATGTGCCTGTTTATATATGCAAACAAGTTTACATTTTTCTGTGTATGTGTACATACATATACACATAGAGTGGAAAATCTCTGCTATGGTATTTAAGGATACAATAATGGACTGAGGGTCTAGCCTGAGTACAGAGGATATGCAAAAACAGAGCAGGAACAGCCTTGTTGGAAACTCTGTTTCTACTACAGGATCCAATTTTGACTGAGTTGAGCAGGTAAAAGGCAAACCACAGTGAGATAGAATGCAAATCACAGAATACTTTAATAGATTACAATTTCTTGTTGCAGTTCTAGTTTTAACAAATCTCTTAGAGGTAATTTGTCCTGTAAAAGGAAACTACATAGTTATACAAAGGAGTACTATTGTAAAATAATGTACACGTAGCAACAGGGGAAAATATCACTAACAAGATGCTGTTTTCATCACCCACTTTTAGAGTATATACTACCCTCTTAAAAATCCCTTTATTTCATAATTAATGTGCTTTTAGCTTGACTAAAACAGCGTTAGTTTTGAACTTTGCTTTGGCAAGTACATATATTATTAGACTTTTTCATCAGTCTAAATCAATTAACAGAAATTTGATTTCAATCGACAGGATAAAAGGAAGGTAATATTCAGGTTCATTTTTGATTGTGATGATACATCTCACATATGGCCTTAAGTACAGAAAACAGTACTCAGAGGGAATCCAACAAAAAGAGAATTGCCTGAGGCAAACTAACCACATGAGTTCCCCTGATTGGTTAGTGCTATCATTAGTGCCACTGCTGTTTAAGAACTACACATGGACAGGACAGGGTGACAGCTAAGACTTTAAAGCCTATGTATTTTTCAAACAGCTTTTCAAACTGTTTTTCATGACAGAATTTTTTTTCAGCTCTATCATTAACTGCTGACAAGCTGACAGAATAAATACTTCAGCCTTTCAGAAACCATCTAACAATCTTTTTTTTCACCCCCTCCCCTTATTTTTGATGTGGGGGGAGGAGAGGAGGAAGGAAGAAAGAAAGGAGATGAAGATATGAGTTTCTTACAGTCTTACCTCATCAGTTTGGGTGAGGAGTTGGGTGAATTTCGCATGCCTCCATTTCGCTGCTTTTTTTTGGGTGATAGTGTCGACGGCTGCTCATCTTCAACTGGAAATATAAGGAACTCATGAGATTAAGTACTGCTCTGAGTGCAATATGAAATACAATTGAAGTTGCAAAGAACACACACTCTATGTCCATTCACGCACTGATACTTCATTGCTAACATAGGCCAACAGTAATAAAAATCAAATACATGTTAGTCGAAGAGATTGGTTTGAAGGAGAAGCAGAGAAGAATACCAGGGTTTTGAACACAGGTGTTCAAATTGGTTTCATACTTCAAAAACAAAGGCGGGGGGACCACATTCAGGTTATTCTTAGAGTTATTATCAGTTAATCTGCGCTACAGAAAAATAGAATTAGTGCTCTGCTGTATTCCCAGAGAGATAAAGTACTATTTTCAATATCAACATAACAGCTGCCAGCCTGCTTTTGCTAATGAACTAGACACCAGTTGGTTCTCGCTCCTCACATGCCAAACAACAGAGTCTTCACGAAGAGATGTAAAATATTCAATGCCTTGATGTTCAATGATTCAGTTAGTCAGGAATGTGAATGCAGCCTGCCATTGTGCGCAGATCTCCAGCACAAGTCAGACCTCATCGCTCTACTCTCCTCCCAAAACGGAGTTTTAACAGGAGTGAACAGAATGAGGTTGAATGGAAGTGGGGAGACAATACCTGTATAACAGAGAATGCATGTGTTATGCAATCTTTTAATGAGGATGAGGTGCACTTTCAAGGACAGATTGATTTCCAGATAGAAAATCACTTATTGTTTTGTCAGTCATAAGCTACTCTTGGATAACTTATGTCACAATATGTATCGTTTAAACAAGTGCAGCTTCCTAAGAACTCATCTAAAAGAATTATCCACCATCTTTACTGTTTTGAGACTGTAACAGCATTTGATAACCTGTATGTAATTTTCACTTGTACTATCAAAGGGAATAAACTCATGACTTCTTTCTCAGGTTCATACTAATACTAATTTATTCTGATATAAAGAAGAAAAAAATAAACTTTTTCCCATCCTACTGTTAAATGAAAAATAATTAGAAGATAATATAACTGATGCCTAGGAAGCTTTTACTTTAAAGCTAAAAGGAAAGACAGTAGTAGTAGTAGTGGTAGTAGTAGTAGCAGCTGCTATATTTAAACAGCTTAGCATATATTAGCAGTGCACAAGCAGAAGTTGAGAAAAAATACTACTTGCAATAAGATACATAAGAAAACCAACAAAAGTGGGATATACGTCACCTGCCCCAGACTTATCTGTGAATAAATGAAGCAACAGCCTTTTGCTATAACCCTCTTCTGACACTATTTTATTACAGACTGCATCCCAGCCTGCCACCTCTATGTCTTTGCCCAAGCCTGCTATGGAATATTTTGCCTTGGTCAAGACCAAAGGGCTGGGCCCTGAAAAGACAGATTTTGCTCTCTTTTTAGATGACCTGGCATCACCTAGCACAAGGGAGCCACAACTAAAAGAAAGCACTGCAAAGAGAAAAAAACAAACCATAGCAACCAAACAAAGGTAATACTAAAATAAATGTGCCAAAAGAGTGGTGTAAAAGATAATACTTAGATCAGAACCATGAGTGTCTAATAATGATTTATTCACTAAGTTTCTTCTCTTCTTGGGCAGCATCCCTAAAGACAAAGGAATTTTCTTCTCATTTGACTTTTCTTTCTTTTTCCAAATCAAAGTCCTATAGTGTAAATGTTTATTGATGGTCAGTCCAATTTGGCTGAGAAATAAATAAGCCTACAGAAATTCTCAAAAAATACACAAATTGATTTTTTTTTTCTGTGACAGTTTGCACACATTAAACAAGATCACTTCAGTATTTAGCTATGTGTACCATGAAGTGAACATGCACAGAATTGTTTTTTGGTAATATCTTTGCAGTTCTAATTGCAAAAAAGCACGTCTTTGCATTTTTCAGAACACCTTCTTCAAATTATTCTCTTGAAAATGGCCTAGTCTTGTTTTAAACTTCTCTACCAGAAAGTTATTTGCATGCTATTCCACACAGACAATAGCTTTCAAGATATCCACTGTGCTCTCTTGTTCTTTATTGGATAAAAATATTCAGTTCCACCACTTAAAAGATCAAATGAACAAGAATCATGCAAAATGTTCCTTCCAGAAAATAACAAATGTTCTATTTTGCTCTCTTGGGAGTAAAAATTCTAAATTTCACTCAAAATAATCTGTTACCATAGGGTTACAGAATGTTTGTCCAGAGATGCAATATGGCACCACAAGTGTGTTGTTCTACAGTTTTAGCAGTTCAAGGAAGATACACATCCATCAGAACCACAGGCAAAAATCCTACAGTAACACAAGTCAACTGTAGATAATATTATAACCAGAAATATTTCTCTGCACAAGTGAAAATAATATTCAAAAATAAAATTTTCCAAGTTTTGAGCTAGCTAATAAGACTCCTGTCTGATCCTTTCAAATTCTGAAAGTTAATACTTTTATAGTACAAAAGGATGTTTTTGTACTATATGGTCCAACATTTGTGTCCTGCAGTGCTGCCAGGTGATGCTAACCTGCTGCCCAATGAAAATCAAAGTCTTACTTTGTAATCATCCAAAATAACAAGTACTAGAAGTACATTTCTAGCAGTCTGCACAGGTACTGCATCTGCAATAAATAAGCTTCCTTTTTGGATATGTGCTTGTCATATTCAAATTATGTTACTGTCACCAGTTGCCTGCAAAGCCCAAGGTTGGCATGGCTCACTAGTTAATACCTGTTAGCAAAGCCTTCTGAGGGATCTCAGTTTGTTGCTTAACCAAGAAAGCCATTTATTCTCATTGTAGCAATGGAAGTAGCTCTATATTAATCATGTGACAGAAAATCAAGTTTTATTTTTCATTGAAATCTCTGCACAGAGTTTACAGGGCATCTGCAATTTAGCAACACAGCTCCATAGGAATGGGGGAAGGGAACTCATGAAGATGAAATATGTGAACAGCATCTACTGGACACTATTACCTATGGTTTGGTTCCCAAAAATGTTGCAGTGACAACTCACAAGTGGTTTCTTAGTAGTAAGTAGGATATAAAACATATCTAATTATTACCCTTCTTTCCTATTACTCCTATCAATTTCCTGCCTATTTAAATAAGTGGATCTAGCAAAATTTTTAGTAAGGTTATTAAATATTTTAGTTTCATGGTTTCTGTGTCTGCATTAATTTAAAAGGGAGTCTTAAATTCACTTGTTCTTATGAAAGACAAACATATTCGCATAATGGGGCTATGATATATGACAAATAAATTCTGATATTGTATGTTTACTTTTGTTAATGAGTCTCCATTTTTTATGTCTTTATACTACAGGATTTGTATTAACTACAGCCATATTATGTTATGCAGACTTTTTTTTACCGCTTTCATAAAAATTGGAAGTACAAGAATTGGACACAGAGTTTTATAGATTTGGAACTGAATTCAGCCTCTGAGTTCTAATAACATTCAAGAGCTTGTTTGCACATCCCTAAGTATAACACTTATTGTACTGCTGTAACAACCCAGAGCTCACTTGTCTAATAACAGTTTTGCAGTTCAGGAAGACTCAATGCTAAAAAAATGTCAGGCGAGTCTAATGAGGCTTCAGACACTCAGTTTTATGCTGGAGTTTAATTTAAAGTTACACTGATGTTTTAACATGTTTGCTTATTCTTGAGTAAAGAGTGTTCATTATTTCAATGACACAACCTCCAGACAATGTTCCATGAATTGGTTTAAGATGTGCTGGTAATTTTAACAGCCTTAATGTGGAGTTGAACATCTGTAACAACATATTACTTGACTTTTATCGTCATTTCATTTTTAAAGCAAAACAAAGATAAATTCTTCCAAAACAGTCGACAAGTCCATAACTTTTTTTGTTATTTTCTAACCATCTTTAAAACAACACTGTCTCTTTGACTGCCTCTCCCAGGTCACTAGCTGAACTAGTTTACAAATGCTTTTTTAGACACCAAAAAGGGCTGAAATTTGAAATAATGTCAATGTTACTGAACATCACATGTACTGGGATACCTGGTAAGTTCATTCTGCCTAGCATGTAAATGCTTCAAAGCAATTAAATCCTTTGAAAGGTAAAGCACAAACCACCCAGAAACATTAGTTGACTAGCTATCTCAATTAACTTATTAATCACCACATCTGGAGAAACCCACATCTGTAAGCACTTAACAGAGCATTAGTAATGTCACATTGAAAACAGACTGCAAAACCATGCACAAACCATTCTGTATTGCCTTATGCATCCAGCTACTGGGCTACCTACGGAGATCTTGGTTCAACCCAGGCTTTTGGGAATGGTAGCGGTATTTTACAGGCAAGCTGAGTGCCCTTTGCAATCTACAGTAGGTAGATTTTCCTTGTTCCACAGAACTCAGTAAGTTAAGGTGCAGCAGCGAGGGGTTGTTGGGTAGGAAGAGGCTCCCTTTACGGTTATTAACAAGTGGAACAGGTTCCGGGATTCCTTCAGTGGACTTGGCATCAATCAATGCACTAGTAGTTGCATTCTTGAACTGATATGAACATTTTGGGTAACTTGATCTAGCTGCATTCTTTACTTCTAAATAATAAGAAAAAATTTAAATTAATTTCTTTATATTAAAAGTTATTTCAAACCACAGGCATGAATAAATTTTGATATTATGTGGAAATACAGTCTTAATGTATCAGTATAAAGCTTAATGTACCAGTTCCAACAGAAGAAATAAAGGTTTATACCTGCAGCTTTCTTATGTTGTTTTTTTTTTCCCCTCTAAAAATGACTCTTTATAAAAGAATACTTACAGAAGGATTATTCAACAATATTATCACCTTTAAACAATAATCTCATCCTAGGGTAAGTATGTCTGAGGTAATACTTATTTCCCCATGTTGATAAGGGCTTTGAGATTTACTATGTGTGGAAGATGTTTATTTCTTTAAAACTACTGAAAATGACAGGGGAGGTAAAGCACACTGCTGCTATTAAAATAAATAAGGAATCACAGAAAACAT